CGACAACAAGAGCTGCAAAGTCTTTCAAGGGCAGAATATCAGCAAGCTGCGGAAAGCATACACGCTTGATTCTTCCTTCCTCTCCATGATCGAAGAAGACCCTTTCGAGAATTTGTCAGAAACTGGTGATCTGTTTCATAGAGAATTGGGCATCAAAACAAACAAACCCGAACTGGAACTCTGTCGCCGCCTTGCCGAACTAATTGGCACTCGCGCTGCCCGCCTCTCAGCCTGCGGTGTTGCAGCTATCTGCAAAAAGAAGAATATGGAGACTTGTCATGTTGGCGCCGATGGCAGTGTGTTCAACAAATATCCTCACTTCAAAGCTAGAGGAGCGGTAGCACTGAGAGAGATATTAGACTGGAAGGTGGGTGAGAAGGATCCCATCAGTATTTTGGCTGCAGAGGACGGGAGCGGTGTGGGGGCGGCGTTGATTGCCGCCTTGACGATCAAGCGGGTGAAGGCTGGCAACCTTGCAGGCATTAGAAATGTCGAGGGGATGGTGTAGATACTCAACGACATAGAACATAGAACGGAAACAGGCCTGGTCTTTCGAACTGGGGCAATCTCAGCTACTAATGTAGGAAAAATCAATGCTCTGCTCCTCTCAGAGCAATGATGGGACAACCCATAATCTGACTTTCAATGCAATCAGAGCCTTCTTGCTAGCTAACTGCGTATCTCCCACAGCCTTATCTTGCCTTGTTCATTTGCCACGGCCAGCATATCTGCAGTAGGCGACCAAGCAACGGCGGTGATCCTCCCAAGCGGTGTCGAGCTTGTAGGCCAATTTCGATACACAGTACAGCTTGGCAGGTGAATCAATCTCAGTGCATCTCTCTTCCACCTGCTAGCCATGCACAAAACTTGTCCATCTTGCGAGAATTCTAAATGTGAAGTTGGCGTTGTCAGTTGGTCGAATGCCCTCACTGGATTTGGCCGCGCAGGCACGCTTTCTGCACTCCATTTTCGTCGATCGTAGATATTGACGATACCACTTGAGCTGCCGACTGCCACCCATCTGTCATTTCCCAGCGCCTTAGACCCCCCTCCATGTCCCCCCAATGCCACGACCGTAGTTCCTATAGCGCCTTCGTCTATCCACCTTGCAACAGCTCGTCTTTCTCGTCCGTCCCACTCGACGACTTCGCCTCCTTTACCAACGACCACCAAGCCTTCTCCGTCGCCCCACCAATCAAAATCTGCAACACCTCCTTTGCCTTCAACCCTCACCTCTGCAACCCATTGGCAGCTACTTGCATCGAGAACGTTTATCGTGCCACCACATTTTCGGCCAGAGCCCACAAAACCTATCCAACGGCCACACGGGCTCAGCTTGAAGCGCTCCATACTGCGCTGTACCTCGCCATGCCCAATCACTCGAGATACCTTCTCTACCTTTCCAGTGTCCAGATCCCAGGTATGAAAATAACGGCGACGGCCAGAGAGAAATATTTTGTTGCCAGCTGGGGGGTGGAAAAGTGAAGTTGTGAGAGGAGTGGAGCTTAGGTGTAGAGTTGTAAGCACCGGATTTGGATTTGGAAGGTGCGGAGAGACATGGTGGAGGAAGAGCATAGAAGAGGGTCCGGAAGAGAGGAGAAGAGAGTGGACGGGGTGAAAGTCGAGATTTGTTATGGCGGACTGGGGGGGAGAGAGATTAGCAATGCCAGAAAGAGAGAAGAAGAGGAAAAAGACTTACAGGTTGGACGGTGCCGACATCCTTGGTACGATGGATGTCGATGACTTCTGGACGGAGCTTCTTGCGAATATTAGAGCTTGTAGGTATAAGTTGAATGAGACCATCGGTGTCCTGTAGAAGCTTGGCAAGTGGATGGGTGGATAGGTCGTCAGATCCGACGGACATGTCATCCGCGGAAGCATTGGCTTCGGAGCTTTCTGAAGCAGTTGACAATTTATTTCGTTTTCTTGATGCTACTTGTTCTGCGACAGTGGGATTTGCCCAGTCCGGTACTGGGTATAGTCGCTCGAATTGACGGCGTAGTCGTTTACTGTACTCCTTCCCATTGACCAGGTCCTCAAATTCAGTAGTTCTGAGTTTCCGCAGTCTAGGATTGGAGGCCAGGGAGACGACAATACGTTCGTCGTCGCTATCAACCCATGCCGCGGCGTTGCCGCCGTCTGACGACGTCGTGTCTTGGTCTGAATTCGATTGGGGTAAAAGGTCTGGGACATGCATAACGGACGGAGTGGAGTCGAGGAAAAACAGCTGGAAGGACGTGAGCGAAAGCAAGTCCGATGGGCAGTTGAACTTTACAAACATCGGTATCATCAAGGCCTTCCAGATTTCCTTCTCCCAAGCCATCTTGAGCTTGTTGACGGTCACCGTCCACCAGGTCTCGAAGATCAGTACTAGCATCTCTGTGTGATTTCAGTCCTTCATGAAAGCCTGCCTTATCACCAAATACCATCTTCTCAAGCTTCATTTCGACCTCATCCTTCTCCATAGTTTCATCACTGTCGAGTCCTTCGAAGTCATCGATCATCTCGTCGAGCACTGGGGTAATTGGCCGCTGGACTGGCTTATGGGCATTCGAGAGAGGCATTGTTTCGAAGAATAAATGTCTAAGGGATTCAGGAATGTAAACGTATTAGTTTCCACTTGCTTTAACTCGAATGAAAATCAAAATCTTAACAGCGATGGAGAGGGTCCGGCTTGTAAGGATTTCATTTATAGGAATGCCAAGAATTCCAGAGGATTGGAGTTGCCTGGCTCCGCTCGGATCTGGTCAACGTGATGGCTACTATTGCTCTATTCAACTACTGTATTGAACAGACTACTCCAAAAAGTAATTTGGTCCTGCAGTCGAGGGAATGCAGTGAATCGTGAATCTCGAGTCTCGATATTTCAAGTGCTATGTACCGGTTTACGAGACCAGAAGTGCTTTTGAGACTAGGAGTCCGAATCTGACATTGGACTGTCAATTTGAGATTGCTGGCTTCCAGCGCCTGACAGGAGCCTACGGCATTGTAGGTTCGCTTGAAACCTTCGAGTACGAGCCAAAGACTTGCTACCGTTGTAGCTTTTCAAATCTGAAAATGATCTCATGTGGAGCAGTAGTCTACCGTCAGAATCAACAGCAGAACGCAGTGTGCACTGCGCCTACTCCTCGAGGTACGAAATTATACCCCAGAGATCAGCACTGTACCGTCTTCGTGATCATCATCTCCACGCCGGACGGTGGTCAAATTCCAGCGCCAACTACCTGTGGCAAGCTGCGGGAGACCGGGAATAAAGTGGCCAAAGCGAATGCTGTTGTTGATTAGCATCTGCAAGCTGGTCTATGCGCCTTGTTTCAGCCTCTTTACAGCAGCCAGCCCGGGTTCTGGATGTCTAGATCGTCGCGCGTTGCGGGATTTTGCTGGAAATAATATATTTTGGAAAGGGCCAGGGTCCACCTTATCATTGGCATCCATGTGCGGTTGGCCATGGCTTCGCAGTTTAATGATAAACGGGATTACTCGTCCCAAACTGATCACACATACGCTTGCTCCCAGTCAAATAGCCATTATTGCCGATAAGACAAAGGGACAGATGCCTTTTATCCAGATGTCACTGCGTAATCGAAAAGTGCTCGTTATCTCAACTCGAAGCCGACCTGGGCTGTAGGTTCATAATCAGAGCAAAAAACAAACGAACAACAACCCATCCATCTTCTATCACGTCTTTTGCCGAGAACGCTAGAGCGACCATTCCACAAAGAGAATGGTTCGAATTGATCAGGGCAGCGCTTCCATTCGCCACCTGCTGGTCGCTAACAAATAGCTACCTATCATTGGGGTTCCTGTAAAAGGGTGGTGAAAATGATAGCATTGAATATTTTTCAAACATACTTCAAATGCGTGTATATCAAACACGTTTCAATTACGATTAGTACCTTTCGCCACGTGTGTCGGCTGGGTATGAGCATCGACCATACGCAGAAAGGGTGCTCAGTCGCTACAGTTTCCGTCCTTGGATGCGTGCTGACCAACTCGCGATGCGCATGTTGGCAATGAACGATGTAGATGTCAGGAATTATTGGACAAGTGCCTATCGAATCAGACAAGCTCGGGAGTTGGCAAAGCTGATAGGATGCGGAGTAAGATCCGGGTAAGCTGGTGATCCAAAGACCTAAAAGGAATAATTTCCTACCCCAAGCTCCCATCTGAGCGTGCAGAACGCACCATCTATTAGCCGCCTGCGCTTCGCTAAGTTCCGGGGTAGCGGCGTTCCACTTGTATACCTGTTAGGCCCGGCGATTGCTAGACCTTATCAACGCATTGCGGAGATTTATTGAGATCGCTCCAGGCCAAGCGACGGGCGTCACGCCAACCCTGGTTGCCATCCAGTTCAGGGGTGCTATGTTGTTCCATCGGAAAGCCTTTCACCGGACACCCGTCTTCCAAAGTATGAGACTGATGAGGTCAATGCATGAGAAGCTAACGTCGGCTACCATGATACGCGCAGTACCTCAGCTTAGCTTCCCAACCCCATGATTCGAATGGACTTGGGATAGCGGGTAAGGAACAGGCACAAACAGTCCATGGCAGATCAAAGGCTGCTCTTCTAGGCATGACAGAGATTTTCAGACGCAATACTGCAACAGGGTCGGTTCGGCGGACAGTAGCATTCTTAGAGCGCAGAGCCAGGGAGAATGCAATCAGAGTTGAAGGCAAAACTATTGGAGGCATATTCTTGCGACTGATAGCATAAGTATAAATTTGTCCCGACTTCCAGCCACAGAGTCGCACACGGAAGCCCTTTGATTGCTCAAGAACCTATTAAGGACGGCAAAAGTTTGTTGTGTATATCTGTCCTGCTGTGTATCAGCCGTGGTCTCTCTATTTGGTGCTTACTTCTATTTGTTTGATACTTCTTCTACTTGAAGCCGGCGTTGGTGTTGGTGTTGGTGGTGAATGCGAGGAAAGGGTTGGTCTTCTTGCCCTTATCTTTTTAGCGGCAACGGTTTCCTTATCAGATCGGGCTAAGGCACGTAAAAATGCCTTGTCCAGCGGATAGGAGTGGGGAGGATGTCGTTCAAATTCAAGTCCAAAGATTTCAGTTGGTCGACAACAATGATGCCAATCACGTCAATTGCGCCTCCACCACCAACAACAGAAATTTCTTGACCGCCTCCAAGCTCACACCCCACCACCTACCAATTCGAAGCCTTGATCTCAACGCTGCAGCGAATCCATTGACCTCCAACGGCGCTTTCTGGTCTCCTCTCAAAGCGATCCCTCTCGCGTCCTACTACAAGCTTCATCGCGTGCCCTCGCTATCAACCATGACCGAGTCCGACTTAGACGATATGGACACCGTTCAATTGCCTCAGAGCGAATCGACTGCAGAGCCGACGGAGCAAATATCTGAGAATGGAGTTCAAAACGCAGTCAAATTGCCTCGCAGAGAATCTACATCAGAGCCTCCAGAGAGACTGCCAGAGAACGGGGTGCACAACAGGATTCTGGAGCAAGTTGTTCGCACTCCGGGCCGTCAGCCTTCTCCGCAACCCACACATCTCAGCATTCCAGGTCCAAGTCAGCACAAGGTGCTGCATGAGGAAGGTTCCGGCTACGTCGCTCCCAAGTTCGAGGGCAAGGAGTTGCAGATGGATCAGGGTATGCCATTCCCGAGCATAAATTTTGAGGAGTTAATGGACAGTGCTGACATGCCATTACTACAGTAATGGATCAGATTGAAGAGAAAGGCTTCATACCGCCAGAATTCGTCGAATCTGAGACCAATTGGTTCTACAACGAATTGGGTATCGATGACATGTACTTTCAAACAGAGACTGTCCCAGCTATCGTAAACCACATACTCTCACTCTACGCAGGGAAGGTAGCAGCATTTGCTCGAGACGATGGTCGCTTGGAGATTCGGCTTGACAAAGAGGCTGCCGATCACGCCGTATACATAGACACCAGCATGCCCGGTGTCAGCGTAGTAGATGGCCCAAGGTACGAGCAGCGAATCGACGAAAAGTACGTCAACGGCTCTACAAGCGACAACAGCTACCGAGTAGAGACCTTCCGCTCCGGGAGTCATCTTCCTGGAGAGAAAGATCAACAGCTGCGTTGCTACTTCGTATACAAATGCAACTTCGCCAACCCTAGCCCTGGCTCGGAAGAGACCAGATTGGATATCATAGGGGAAAAGCGGTTCCTGCAGAAGGCTACACAGAACACCAAGGACATTTATCAAGAAGTCATGAACAACGCTGTGGGGCGAACTGGACCTGTCATTGAGATGTTCGAGATGGAAGCCAGTAGAGAGAAAAGACTTGTCATAGCATATCGACAAGGTTCTGCGATGGGCATGTTTAGTGCTCTCTCTGACCTATACCATTACTATGGCTGCACGAGCTCGAGAAAGTACGTGGAGCAATTCTCGAACGGGATTACGATCATGTCCATCTACCTACGACCCCTTCCACAAACGGCCTCCAACTCGAAGCATCCGCCAATCGAAGCCTCGATCCACCAGATAATGAAGGAATTCTCTCTGCTGTACTGCATACCCCAGAACAAGTTCCAAGGACACTTCGCAAGCGGCCGACTGAGCTTACAGGAGACTATTTACGCACACTGTGTATGGGTGTTTGTCGGCCATTTCTTGAACCGTCTGGGATCGGAATATGCTTCGCTTGCCTCTTTGCTAGATCCAAACAATAGCGTCCATGCGGAAATGCTGTCCAAGATCAAACGTCGTCTTAGGACAGAGACATTTACCTCGGACTACATCCTTGAGATAATCAACAAGTACCCCGATCTGGTACGATCACTGTATTTGGCCTTTGCTAACACCCACTATGTTCAGACGAGAGGCGAGCAAGACGACTTCATTCCTACGCTCAGCTACCTGCGCCTCAAGGTTGACGTTGTCCTTGACGATACTCAGCTCAAGTCACTGATCTCAAAGACCGCCATGAATGAGCATGATCAGATGGTTATGACCGCCTTCAGAGTCTTCAACGCTGGCGTTCTCAAGACCAACTTCTATACTCCAACAAAAGTTGCGTTGAGTTTCCGGCTCAATCCCAATTTTCTCCCTGAAGTTGAATATCCTCAGCCATTGTATGGCATGTTTCTCGTCATCAGCTCGGAGTTCCGAGGCTTTCACCTTCGCTTTCGCGACATCGCCCGCGGCGGCATTCGCATTGTTAAGTCCAGAAATCGTGAAGCATATTCTATCAACGCCAGATCCCTTTTCGACGAGAACTACAATCTCGCAAACACTCAGCAACGCAAGAACAAAGACATTCCCGAAGGAGGGTCCAAGGGTGTCATTCTACTAGATGTGCACCACCAAGATAAGGTCAAAGTGGCCTTCGAGAAGTACATTGATAGCATCATGGATCTTCTACTACCTCCAACAAGCCCGGGAATCAAAGACCCAATCGTCGATCTCCATGGCCAGCAAGAAATCTTATTCATGGGCCCAGACGAAAATACCGCAGATCTGGTCAATTGGGCAACAGAACACGCCAGGGCAAGAGGAGCGCCGTGGTGGAAATCATTCTTCACCGGAAAGTCTCCTAAGCTGGGAGGAATTCCTCACGACGTTTATGGAATGACAACATTGTCGGTGCGAGAGTATGTTCAGGGCATATACCGGAAACTTAGTCTACAACCCAACGCAGTTCGGAAATTACAGACTGGTGGACCGGACGGCGACCTTGGGTCCAACGAGATCTTACTTGGCAACGAGAAATACACAGCAATTGTCGATGGTGCAGGCGTGCTTGTCGATCCAACTGGCCTGGACAATGTGGAGCTCGTCCGGCTGGCAAGGAAGCGTGCCATGATATCCGAGTTCGATGTCACAAAGCTTTCTGCTGACGGATACCGAGTCTTGGTAGACGAGACGAGCATCACACTACCGTCCGGAGAGACTGTTAACAATGGCATGATCTTCCGCAATACGTTTCATTTGCGCGGTGAAAAGCAATTCGACGTCTTCGTGCCTTGCGGTGGCAGGCCAGAGTCCATCGACTTGAGTACCGTCAACAAACTCATTGTCGATGGCAAAAGCACCATTCCGTACATCGTTGAAGGTGCCAACCTATTCATCACGCAGGACGCCAAGCTGCGGCTCGAGAAGGCTGGTTGCATATTGTACAAGGATGCCTCGGCGAACAAAGGGGGGGTCACATCTTCATCCCTTGAGGTCCTTGCATCATTGTCTTTCGATGAGCAGGGTTTCGTGGAGAACATGTGCATACGTGATGATGGTACGGCGCCACCATTCTATGACGCCTACGTCAAAGAGGTACAGGAAACGATCAAGCGTAATGCGGCACTAGAATTCGAAGCTATTTGGCGAGAACATCAGCAGACTGCCATCGCACGAAGCACTCTGAGCGATACTTTGAGTGTCGCCATTACTAAGCTTGACGAAGAGTTGCAGAAGCAAGACCTCTGGAAAAACATCGAGCTCCGAGACGCAGTACTCGAGGACGCGCTACCAAAATTGCTCCTCGAGAAGATTGGGTTGAGTACCATCATCGAACGTGTAAGTCCATTACCCCGGAGTCGATGAGGCTCTGTGCTGATCATTCTAGGTTCCCGACAACTATCTTCGCGCGATATTTGGCAGTTATTTGGCCAGTCGATTTGTGTACGAGCATGGCAGTAGCCCCAGTCAATTCGCGTTTTTTGACTTGTGAGTAAACGTGTCCCCAGCGATAGCATGGCCGTTAACATGTGCGCAGTATGTCCAAGAGAATGGCAAGGTTGAAGCAATAGCGCGAGCTTGCATCAAAAGAGAATGGCGGCTCATGGGATGCGAGTATACTTGTAGGCTACAGTACAATAAACACGTGGTGGATTGGGGAGGCTTGCTGCTTGCGACAGCATTAGTCTAGTACGAAGATGAAGGCATGCAATTACTATTATAGATACCTTACCAAATTAAAGAGTGGATTCGACAGCGGCATTGTCATTGGAATGTACGAGTAGCCGCGCAATACGCATACCCCCGACTGTTTTTGTTTTGATATTATTGATCAACCATGCGCCTCGAGCCCCTTGTCCTCGTCTCTTGAAACCTGCACCTTCCAACATCAACAAACATTTCCCCCTCACCATACAATTTTCCCAACGCTTCTCAGTCGCACAACTCCAACATACCACCAAGATAGTGTTCCGAAATTCTTTGGACTCTTCATCTGTCAGCTTTCCCCCAACCTCTGTTTCTGTGAAAGTAAGTCCCGTGATACCTACCGAATGTAAACAAGTCCGGCAACGCGCCTCCGACCCCACCAATACCATCCACTACAAACCCTTTACTAACTCACCTCTCAGACTCCGCATCTTCTTCACCTGTCCGCCCCAACCTCCGGCAATGGCAAAGACAAAGGAAGTTCGCGAAGGTAACCGCCCGGGACTTCGGAAAAACAGAACACCCCGCGTGCTTTTCGCCATCGAGGACGTAGCGCCTAAGCCTAAGTCAACCTCCAAGAAATCCAGTGTCCCCAAGACGAAAGCGAACACATCCAAGCCACGCGCCAAGGCTGCGACCGCGGGACGCGTTGAGAAGAAGAAAGCTCCGGCGACCAAGAATAAAAGAACCCCCACTGTGACCGATAAGGTGAAAGGAGTTGTCGAGAAGGCTGTGGGCACGATTGAAGGCAAGCCGGCGAAGAAGGTATGCTGTTTCCATTCATCCTTGCCGTCCAGGAGCTGGAAGGCTATGCTTATGTCAACTTCTTTGGCGCGGTTGACCACAAATAGGCTAACGGTTACATCCAGGCTGCCGGCACGAAGAAGATCAAGGGCACTGATGGAAAGGGATCTGTCCGCGCGAAGAAAGCTTAGACGCACGTTCGCGACTTACGGATCATCGTTTCATCGTGCGGAAATGGTAGAAACAACCTTGGCTCTATCTGCGCATTTCGTCCTCCCTTGCGCTGCATGCACGCCTCTATATGTCTTTCTGGAAAGGGAAGCTATGCGCAGGATGTGATGACGGTCTTGGCCAATGGTGGGTGTGCTACAATACGTCGCTTGTTTACATTTCTGGCGAGGGCAGGGACGAGTCAGGAGTGGCGGCGTGTCCTTTCACGTTGGAAATGTACGATACCCTTTGGTTATGTTCACAGGAGTATTTGATGGCTTCTCCTTTTCCTTTGCTCATGTATTCATGATTTGAGGTCATCTTCGGTCTTGTTTCTTTCTGTGGAGACGTTGTTTGTTAAGGTAGCGCAGGGACTATTCCTCGTTTCATTGCTTCATCGGTGTGTTCGTTAGGGAACAAGACTATAATGTTTCAAAACGTGGTAGAGGCAATCCCAATACTCTAGTCATAAGTATGATAATGTAAACTTCAATATCAGGCCTTCCGATCAGGCTGTGGAGTATCACCACCTACTAACTCCACGTGACCAAAACGTATAGTCGGACCCAGGACGCCTTTCAAACCGCCATAAGCACTCGGAGTATCATCATGCTCATCCCCAAATGCCCTGAAACCGCGGATCAATCACACACGCCAGAATACCACATTACGGCCTTCCCCTTCTCCGGAGCCCATACTCTTCGGCCTGGAGCTCCTTGATTAATCTCATACTCTCTTCGTCGGCCATATTCTCCGAACCTATTCTCGCTTTACGCTTCTGATCTGAAAATGGATCTGCCATTACTGGCGACGCCGCCTTATCACGTGCATTTTCCCCGTACGAGCTACTGCTAGCTCTTCTCATTGATCCCGACTCTGGGGTATATCGCTGCGTCTGCTTGGGTTGACTCGAGGAATGTCTCGATGAAACTGTCGAGGATTTCCATCCGACATGTGCGTTGATTGGACTGATACCAGCATCATCGTGTGACGAGGCTGGGGGGGAGACCAACGACGAAGCGGGTGGTTCGAAGTTTTCTCTAGACTCTAACGTCGCCGCGCTGACCTCAATGTCAGGTGCAGGACAAGAATCGGTGATCTGCCATTGGTCTGCAACTTTGTCCGAGATTTCTTTCATATATCTGTGAGGCGATCCCGCGCTCAGGCCAACAGACTGTTCGAGGGGAACTGGGACCGTCGTCTGCTCTTCATGCTGAATGCTGTTCGCACTATCCTCAAAAAGTGCTGGATCAAGCGGGAATGGCTCCCCAGATGACGCTTGTGGGACAACGTCTGGCAAGCTCGGAATGCTAGGTTCCTGAACCACTGGACTTGTGGGTCGTGCTATCATGTTCGCGATGGGCGCTGGTCGCCTCGTTTGCTCCTCGAATGCTAGTACAGTCGGCACTCGTTGTTGCTGTTTGACATTACGTTTACGGACAGCCCCTTGCACATGCTTCTTGGGGGTAGAAGCTTCATTGATTTGAGTGTTCAACTTCCGCGCATGAGGCCTTGGGATCGCAGACTCGCGCACCTTGACGGGATCTTCATTGCCATGTTCATCGTGTATACAACGACGCTATATATGCGTAAGTGACACGCAAATAAAAGATGGTGGATACGGTACTGACCTTGCTTTTACGGCATTCATTGCATGCTTTATGTCTTGGTCGAGCTAGTAAAGCGTTGCCTGAAAAGGAGTCAAGACCTTTATCAATTGTCGCGGGCATCGATTCCTCAACCTTAGAGAATATTGAGATGGCTCCCTCGGCCGAGAGATTCGATTGAGAGGCCAGATCATCAGCTTGATACGAGTATCCGTCGTTGAAATGCGCTGTTGAAGTTGTTTCGGGAACGAGGGCTAGAATTCCATCATTAGATTCTGGGGTTCTGCTGTTGGAAGTAGGCGAAAGTGTTGAGTCTTGCCGGTCATCTGGACCTGGCCTGAGCGACGAGGTGGGGTACTGCAACGATGTGCCCAGATCTGTTGAGACACTTCCCAAAACATCGATTTGAGTAGAAGGCATTGACAATGAAACCTGGTCCTTATGCTTGCAGGCTCGCCTTCTTTTACGGCAAGACTCACAAGCAGTCTTTCTATGGGACGTTCCATTCGTACCTCCTGACGACGTCCTAGGTTTCTTCGGATTGTTATGGCGTATTGGATCGTTTTGGCCATGCGCGATCGATAGTGCTGCACCTCCTGGCGAGTCTAGTAGCACTTCTGAGGCTGCTTGTTGAGACTGCATGCGTGCTGATTGTCGTCTGGGTGCTTGAAGTGCAGCCTCCCGGTCGAGCTTTTTCATCGCAGCTGCACTCAATCTGTCAGGCGCAAGCGTCTCTGGTTCAGCATCAGGATAGGCCCAATGTGGAATTGGCTCATTGCCGCGCTTCCAAGCACACCACGCAGCAAACCTTTTCAGAACGTCGAGTGGCTCGCCGTGGCCTCTAGGGATTGACTTCTTCACTGCATTGCGTGTCTCTGCAGATATGCCATCCGTGATACTACCGATATCGATCAACGCCGTCCTTAGCAGGTAACGCGTCAGGTCGGGCAATCCATCAAGTTCCGATTGAGAGTAGTATCTTTTATGATAGTTTTCCACACCAGGCCGAGAGTTCTCACCCCACGAGTCAAACTCATTATGAGCTGGCTGCTGGCGGACGAAAGTGTCACCAGCGTGAAGCAACTCCTTGACTTTCCTAGGTAAGGGGTCGTCCTCGAGGTAACGTAGAGCAGTGTACCAATGAAGCTTCTGGAAGTGAGGGTATCTAAACTTCCTAGCAACTCCGGTAGCCTTCTCAACCTGAGCAACTCGTAGCTGCATTCCAAAGTTCAGACGCGTGAGGAAATTGCCTCCGATGACCAAGCTATCTTCAGGAGTCCATACAGCATGAATCCATCCTGCTGGAATCAACATGGTGTCCCCTTCTGAAAGGTCGACACGATAGCACTCCTTGGTTTGATCGCCTAGAAAAGTCCAATTCTGCGCAGGTGACATACACCATTCCTCGTATTTCTTCAAATGTTTCTCTTTAGGTGGGATGAAGATGAACGTTTTCTTGCCCTTCAGTATGTGATAGAAGACCGATGAGCCACCAAAATCGATGTGAAAATCCGTAAAGCAATCCGCAACGGACATCAAACAGTAAAATTGTACCCTGGGATATTCCCCCTTGGCCAGCAACTCCTCTGGCCAGACTGAGTCTTGCAGATCGAGGTCCCGCACAATCTGTGGTCGTCTGATTAGGCGTCCCAGCTTGCTTTGAGAGACTTCTAAACTGATGACGTTCCGTACAACCTTGTTGTTCGGGTTTTCATAATAGTCTACCCATCGTCTCATATTCCATTTCTTATTCTCGCCATTCTGGGACTTGACATCGATTACCTCTACCTTCTCATCTTGGCCGTAGAGCTCTGCAACTTGTCTAACTGTCAGTCCTTGGGGGATGACCATGTCGAGAGCATCTTGTCCCTGGTCTAATACGGCTTCAGGCTCTGTATGGCGAGAGAACCAGTCTTCGGCAACGTCATTGTTGTCTAAGGGATTGGGCGAAGACGCATCGTTGGGCTGCCTTGTCGCTGCAGCATTTGAGTTTTCACTTGTCTTTGGTCGAGGATTGAAGCAAGCTGGTACTACGATAGGTTCCCTCATGCCTGTGCCTTTCTCAAAGTACTCGGCCGTCACCAGGTCCGGACGCATTCTGGCAAAATTATCGGGTAAAAAGTTGATGGTGCCATCCTTAATTGGCTTAATGTAATGGTGTTCTGGCCGCTCATCAGAAGTCTTGATGACTCCTTGGTGCAGACCAGCATAGTCAATGGCACTGTGGGCACGGGACGATTTTCGGACATATGTTGTAGATCCGTACAGAGGCTTGCATTTTCGACATCTGTATTTGTCCACACTCCGCACTTCTCGGTCATTCTTGAAGCCCGCACAAGCAAAATGAAACCAAGATTTGCAACCATCACAGCTGATCCAGGACGTGGCATTATTATCGTTCTCAATGGCTGGGGAGTTGCGGCCAAAGTTGCAGGACGCACAAACAGCAGCTATGGTAACTGCTAGGCAAGGTTGACCTTTCGAAATGCTGACGTCGCTGGCGCTGATTGAAGATGCGTTGACTTCTTGCGCGGATTGTCTCGTGTTTTCTGCTTCTGCAGCCAAGGTTCCGTCCATGGTTCTCACTTGGTTTCCCAAAGCACCATGCATTGTACGTGGCTCGTGATCCACCACTTCCTCTTGAGGCTCCTCTGGAGCGCCAAGAACTTCCGAATCTTTGAGTATTGCGCTGTTGACACCTTTCTGCCCTTCTGATGCTTGGACAGCATGTTCCAGTGCCTGTAAAACATCTTCCATTGGTTGCGTCGCGTCTACTTGCACCGGATCAGTTGGCATGTACCGCTTGTCAGATGAGACATCGTCGTGTGACTCATCGTTGAGACCGGCGCCAGAGCCGGTGATATGTTCCTTGACCTCTACATCGTTCTGCGGTTCAGAGTTCATGCCGGCGCCCGAGCTTCCGGTATATTCTTCAATCTCGGACCTTTCGAATGTCTCTGTCCTCGTATTGCCGGCACCTTTCTCAGAGGCCTCTGGCGGCATGTCCAGGTTACTCTGCTGTGCAATTGCCGCAGGTGACAAGTGCTTCGTTTCGATCTCGGGCTGATCAACGGTCGTGTGGGAATTCTCGTTGGCGGGATCGTTAGACATCCGGTGGTCCAGATCTGTCTCTTGCCAAGGGTCTGCTTCGGATGCGGGTCGCTTTTCATCGATCGCTCGTTCTCCATGCGAAGGCGTCTGCACTTCTACCTTTTTAACATTATCTGCAAAGTTCCAAGCCTTGCCTTCTGTGAAGCATCTCACAGCATCCTCAGGACTTTGTACGGTAGGCCCAGGTGAAACGTTCGATGATGGTCGAAAGGCATTGAGTGATAGCTCTATATTGGCTTGAGGAGATTCTTGGGGAGAACATACGAGCTTGGCTGCTTCATGGGCGAAGTTGAGCAGAAGCTCCGCCTCAAGTCTCCTGCTTTCTGGTGATTGCTCGTAGCTCGTGGCAGGTCTGTTGTTTGCCCCCGCCGTTGTCCGTGACCAGTCCGGCAGCGGTAACTTTTCCGATTTCGCGCGCTTAGAGGGGCGATCTGTATCGTGATATACATCATCGATGGATTGCGGCCCAGTGGAAGTGCTTGGCCGGTGATGCCTACTTGATTTGGTAGCCAGCGCTATCGAGGCAAAAGCGTCCATTGGACCCCCGGGCAGATGATCTTGCTCGCGCACATCGATATCGCTATAATCGTATAGGAAATATGATCTCTTGAGGCCCCCATTGCGATGCCCTGTGGTGTCTGAACGGCGTACTTCGTCCGCCGTGATCCCAGTGAGGATTGGGGAGATGGGCTCGAAAGCGTAACTAGGAGGCGATGGAGTGCGGTATCGAATAGGAGCAAAATCCGCGCTCCTCTTGAACGAGGAAGGCATGGCAAAGTTGATGGTAGATGATTGAAGTACGCGCTGTTGGGCGGCCTCGAAATTGGAGACAGCCCTGAGGTTGCAGCTCAGAGCAATGCAGCTGCGCTTCGCTTATCGAAGGGAAACATTGGTTTTTCATTCGCATGAAGCCAATATCAAGCTGCTCTGTGAAGTGAACGTGTTGTGAAGAAGTTGGTGGAGTTGCGGAGTAGATGGGGGGGTTAGACTCGGTACGAGTAGTGAGTCGTCCCATTGAAGGCTCACTAGCGTGTTGTAGGTTTTAGCCCTCGTAGTCCGCAGTGAATCGCTCATCAACAACATCATCCTCTTCCTATTATCTAATGTATAGAGGCTTCTATCCTACTTATTATACTGTGGGCCCCCAAATTTCGTCCGGTGCTTCACAACAAATTCGCAACAAAGGGTCCACTTGCCTCGCCCTGAGGTTCGCTAGCCTGGTGCTCTTGCACATCTCCATAGAAATGACCATGCGGAAATCAACTCTTTCCTTGGCTCTCTCTCCATCTACTGGGTACTGATTCAGAATGAAAAGTCAATGAAGATGTGACAGGCCGTGCATGTTGCAAAAGAAGGATTGGATAAAAGCTGGTGCTTGTCTACAATGCCCATGGTTTTCAAGCAGGTTGAACAGAACGTGCCCTTTCTTCCCTACATCATGGCCCATCCTGAGTGGGATCATTATTGGCTGTCTCGATCCCATCGGTTCCTCGGTTTCGCCTTCCGGGTTTCCGCTCCTTAGAACATCGAAAACTCGTAGGCATAGTCAGCTCGACGAATGGCTGTCTGGTATCAGAACCATATCTGGTCTTTCAAATGTCAAGGGTGTTCACCCGTGGAACCAATGATGTATTTTCATAGGGACACGCAGACAAGCATGCTGGGTCATGACTTCATGGATTTGCGGCTCTGGGCGCTCATGAGGCTGCTCCTACAAGCAGAGTTACCTCTTCGTTTTGACAACGTATGAACGGGCATGCGTTCTGCATTGCTGAGTCTATACAAATAAAACTTCGGGGATGAACTGCTTCTTTAGCATGTGTCCACCGTGTCAAGGGTTTGTTCCTTCATCAAGCTATAAGTCTAAGATGACATGACGCAGGTTGGGAGATACCATTTCATGAGTTTGTCACCATATGTTTTGAGCGATTGTGTCAGTATGAGGAGACTGCCCCCCACACCAAGCTGTCTTCCTAAGTGGACCATTCACAAATGAGCCCAGATTCTAGAAGACGAGGCCCTACATGCTTGTTGCTTCAGCGACCCTAATGAGATACAGTTGTAGTGAAGTACAGATATGAAACGGTTTGCAAGAGAGATACCAGTCACCATTGCATCTAGCCCTGACATACGTGATTGAGCTCAAACTGTCGACACGAAGACTCTGGGATCTCAGTAAAGTCTTCAAGGTCCATTGATAAGTTTGGCCAATGAGGCGGAGGTTCGGATTATTACATGAAGAGGCGAGTAGATTAGAAGGCCGTGGTAGAGATTCTGGGGCATGAAAGTACCAGCTTCCAAGGTATTAAAAAAGGTCTCAAGAATAGTAGACAAATGGTCCGCGAGTACTTTGCGAATTTGAGGTCGCCTTAAGTGCTGCAATCGGTTCAGGCCGCGAAATCGGTGTACCCCTGAGGTGGTACATGCAGGACATTCGCGCATTCGCATGATTTGCGCCGGTAGTATTGGTCAAAATTTCCAGAAACTTACCTCTATCATTTGTTACTGTCTTTCGCGCCCTCGAAACGTAACACGTTATGGTTCCGATTGCGTGCCATGGAGATGGCGATTGTGTATCATGCTATGTCAATGAGATTCTTGATTGCTACTACGAGCTGTCTCGGTCTCCTGATCTAAAACCCTCACCGAGTATCAACTGTCTATTTGAAAGGCTTGTTGGATTATGTAGTAGGATACCCGATGAGGCTACCACAGCACAGGTCTGTCACACTGGGTACACCGCCAACAACAGTACCTTACATGAATCAAAAACAGATTCTGTCAGACCCCAAAGTCGTTGACATAGCTCCTCATTTGCGAAAGCTTTGCTCGGATGGCGAATATCAACTCGAAGCTCATTGGGCGCGAAAGGTGTGTTGCTGCAAAACACACGAAGAAGGTGGGTATCTTGCCTTTCACATCTTTTCCTTCCGTGCAACGCTAGCTGACCTGAAGGTTGTAGCGAATGAGATGTTGCTCACATTTCCCTATCATGGAAACTACGTCGACCTCGTCCGTATGGAAATGAACGCCATTGCATCCGTGAAGCCGGATTTCGCCACGCGAACTTTTGCTTTCCTTGGCTCAGGTCCACTTCCTTTGACCTCTCTTTGCATCAGTCATCATCTTCAAAGCGAGTGCGTATCCTGCCATAATGTCGATCAAGATGCGACGGCCATTACGACGGCCGTTACATTGTGCCGCGCCTTGGGTCACTCTCCGGAAACTATGTGCTTCCAGTGTGCAAGCGCCGGTAGTCCAGATATCGACTTGGGATGCTTTGATATTGTCTATTTGGCCGCTCTAGTGGGCGGTTGCAGCACGCATAAACACGAGATTATGGCCGACGTCGTCAAGCGGATGAAGCCAGGAGCACTGGTTGTGATGCGCAGCGCGCACTCGTTGAGACGCCTGTTATACCCGGTCTGACGACCTCGCACGCCTCCGATTACCAGGCAAAATCTACTGACACTACTCATAGGTAGTCGAAGTCACGGAGGACATGGCATCAATCGGGCTAAGACCCTTATTGGTCGTACATCCTTACAATCATATTGTCAACTCGTGTGTCATAGCTGTCGTCGAGTCCCCATGTGGCTGCGGTCCGTGAGATCTGCCACTTTTTGAAGCAGATGTTGCAGATTCGTTATGCAGAGATGGCACAGGTGACGAAGGCTCATTTGCTTGACACTCATGCCGTCTGATACGCGGTTCCAAGAGATGATGGCGGGCGAATACTTCTGAATTGGTAGGGCGCTTTAGGAGAGATTGTGCCTAACATTGAAAAAGCAATCCACTGTGCAAGCCACTCGTGTCACAGATAGGTTCATATCGCTCTTGCAGCCACGACCTCCCAGTCCCTCAGCTCTTTCCAGGTCTCGACCAGTGCAATGCGGCCCCCAGTCCATCCACTGTAGTCGCCTTTCCCGTCCTCGAGCAACACGTTTTGTTTCTCTATTCGTATTCCCGCCTCCGCGACCACCTGCAGGATCTCCTGACGTTTCTCGGCGGTGACTTCGATATCGGCGTACATCAAGCTGACATGCGGTGCCCAGGTCTCCTTCACCCAGCTTGTCGCCGCAGTCATACCACCATTCTCCACGGCAGTAGAACGCACGTGTGCCCCGAAAGTCTCTAGGGGTCCCTTGCTCACACTTAATATAAGTTTCTTGAAGTATTGAGCCCCCACATCGAGTGACTCAAGGCAAACGTCGACATTGACTTTCTTCGGCAGCGGTAGATCGTCGAGCCATCTTTGGGCTCGCTTGTTGCCGCTAATGTCCGGAGGAAGCGTTATCTCGGAGGTCAGTGTCATATGTGGCTCGAACACAACATTGTGGAGTTCGGGGAAGAGGGAGGGGATCTTCGTAGTTACGAGGTCAGAGAGTACGAGTTGGATTGGTGAGTCGCTGGGTGGCAGGAGCCATAAAGAGCACCCTAAGGAGTGTATATCAGTGGGCTAACTCGCTTCGACGGTTGCTGAAGTACATACCTGGCATAGTTGCATCCGCAGCGTCTCGCGCTGTACGACTATTATTCGTTTTGGGTCATATGTAATAAACCGTTCTGGACGTGCTTTCAATGGTCTCTGCAGGCTAGGACAGGAAATAGAGTGAAGCAAAAGTCGTGAATTGAGGAAACCATGGGATGAACATCAGACGACCTCAGCCTTGGAAATTCTAAAGTAAATTCGCCGGTCGAACAGAGGGACGAGGATATCCTCGACGTTCTCCCCCGAGGGACTTCGGGTCTCTAAGGATTCCGCCCAGCAAATTTTCCTCCTTTTCACGACTATTGCTACGTCTTTATGCGTGCGTTGCTCAAAGTAACAATGAAACGCGTTAGCGCGCGGCTGTTCCCCGGATCATCGGCCACGATCCTTCGGCTTATGTTTATGAGAGCAGAAGGTACTACTCCTAGGAGAGCCAGTACTTGTTCCGGCACCGAGGGTTGCACAAGGACATGGCGAGGCTATGCGGTTGGAAAGAGTAGCAACCTCTTCGTCTTACTGATCAACTTGATGTTACCACCTTTCTTGGAACCTCTGCTGACTATACAAAATGGAAAGGGGAGTATTACGCGCGTGTTGTTGCTTCTGGTGCCTCTTTGAATACGATACATTGAGTTTGAGGTTCTGTCTTTTACGCTGCTCACGTCTCTCTTACAAACCTCCGTCTTACACCAGAACTCTACTTAGCAGCTCGTATCTGAGCACTCCAGATCAATGCTTCTAGAGAAGTAATCTCCAGGGCGTGAAGAAAGAACTGATATAAGATTCCACTGCTTTTGCACTCATACATGCTAGCCCAGCTCTTGCGTCGGTGTTCCAAGTCATGGCTTTGGTTCTGAGTGTACTCCCGAAAGCTACGTTTGTACTTCTTGGTGTAGCTAGTGGACTACAGCGCATTTCGGAGATCATACCAGAGTCTAGATGAGCATGGAGAGTTAATACCAATTCGATTTCCGTCCGGCGTTGATTGATAGCTCCACTCGTACGTTCACCAAAGACTCATCCGACCTTCCAGGCCGCATTCAAGCTGCACAGCAGACCCGGGACCTTGTGGTCTCATGATGTTTTCCAACAAGTCAGCAGTAACGGTCGCACAAACTATGCACGTAGGGGCTGTGCCTACACCCTTGTTACGGGCACGGAGGCCAGAGCAGATGACCCAAGAATGCTGGCAAGGTGTCACTTCCTTTTCAATGACCGATGGCAACCATGACATGTGACATGGTTTGAAATTCCGTTCACCAGTAGAGAAGAATGTCGCTTTCCATCCTGAAATGAGGCGAATACTTGAATGAAATGCATCAATACTTACGGATGAAGCCATGAGCAGTTGAGGCGGACTCAATGGGAACTCGGCATCTCGGATCTCTCGGTTGTGGCTTTTGGGCTAGGCTTCCCGCAAAGGAAAGTCCCAATGTGGCCTGCGCTAACACTCATCCTGGAAGCGTTCTCGCGTTTATCCTGGTCCAATAAGCGTTTCAGGAAGATGGAAGGAGCTATTGCTACTTTACGCCTAGGCTATTATTATGTTATTAAAGTAGTAAGGTAAGTAAGTTCATATATGTATTGGCAGCTCGTCTTCCATTCAAGATTGTTACTGTTTGGCTTTGCTTTGGCTTTGCTATCTCATCATACTTCTCTTTCCTCCTTTCCTCCTCTCCTCCTTTCTCCATCCCATCTCAGCTGTGCGTCTCTTAAATCTCCCTCCTCCTCCTCTGTCTCGACCTCCAAACTTCTAGTCACCCTTTCCTCTCCTTTTGTACTATCATATCGTCAAATTCGCGTGGATCCTGGCCTCTAGAACGCAGAAACCATGGGACTCGGGCATTTCCTGACTGCACTGACAGTCCTACCTTCTATCGTGTACTGCCAAAGCCCGCTTACATCCTCGAAAAGAGGCCTTGTTTACGTACCAAGTGAGAAATATCCCCAAGACGATGCCAATTGGGACTCCCCAACTTCCGACCTCACTTGGTATTACAACTATGGTTCCAAGCCTTCTCCCGCCTTCGCAAATTTTCCCAAACTTCAATTCGTCCCTATGCTTTGGGGAACGGGCAATTCGTCCACTTTCCTCAGCGACGTACAGTCCCAGATCAAGTCTGGAGCCAACATCACATATGTTCTCGGATTCAACGAACCTGATGGGGATTCCAGCACGTACGTATATCCAGAACGATTTCTTCCTCTTTGGGACCAAACTTCCATCGCAAGACATGTCTCGGGAGCCAAAGGCTTCTTTCAACCCTAGAGACTAGTCTCAAGAGTTGAATCTCTTGCTTGATGAAGGGATGCTGACTCCGAAAACTTATCTAGCGGGGGCAGTGATATTCCAGCAGAGACGGCAGCCCAGATTTGGATGCAGCAGATTGAACCCTTGGCCAAGCAGGGTGTCAAAATTGGAGCCCCCGCATGTACAGGGGCTGAAACTGGCCGTCAATGGACTCAGGAGTTCTTCACAGCTTGCAGTAATTGCACAATAGATTTCATTCCAGTGCATGTAAGTAACTTTCCTAGCCCTTTGTTCCTAACGCATACCCTGATTTGCAATTTTGATCTTGAACATTCAATTGCTGACTGTAGGACTTGCAGTGGTATGGCGATTTCCAAGGCTTAGCAAGCCATATTGGTGAATATGTCGGCACGTTCAACAAAACCATATGGGTGACCGAGTTTGCGGATGCCCATGTTAATCTCCAGGAATCGCAGACGTTCTACAATCAAAGTTCCAGTTACTTGGACCGCACCGAGTAAATGTTTCTTACATCACCAATTCTAGTCAGACCACTAATCACCACTGCAGAAATGTCACCCACTACTCATATTTCGGCGCTTTCCGTTCAGACGTGTCCAACGTTGGTGCGAATTCAGCCATGCTCACGCAGGATGGGAAGCTCACAGACATTGGGAGCTGGTATCTCGGTGGAGGCGAGACGGGCAGCGTGCCCAAAAGCGCTGCGTATCGGAAGACTGCGTTCATTCGTTCTAGCCTCCTCGTGGGCTTGACCACCATGTGGTGCGTACTGTGAGAGAGATGACTATCTTTGAGCCAAATAGAATCGATACTTAGAGGCCTTGTTGGTCAAATAGAAGGATCATGGGAAACGGAGTCGTGGCAGAAAAAGCGTGGGTGGGCTCGAGCCCTTCATTGTCTCGCATGGGCTCCAAGCCGCACAAAATCAGCCAACGTGGACATGAATTGAATGTTCGGAAGTGGAACAATCATTGATGGTGCATGAAGACATCAACGATTGCACACCGGATTATAGTTCTTGAATCTTCATTCGTAATGTGCACGCATAAACCATCCAATAAGGACAGTATGGATGACAGACGTCAAGGAATCAACTATATCTCGTAGGCAATATGTGCAAATCATCTTGACGCCCCTGGCCATGGTCTTACATGCAAAACCGCTGAAACCCAAAAATCCCCATCTAATGCTTCAACCTTGACCTCCATCATGACTAATATGCTTGCCCACGATAACCCATGTGTGGTACGGTCGGTTGCCGCCTTGCAGATGGCGAAGTGGCGCCGTCACTTTCTCGGCTGACTCTCCGGTCATGCCCGTATCCCATATCTGCAGCAGAGCTGACTAAGAATTCCGAGCTCTCATCGGCACCTCGAGGTCGCCGAGGTGGCGGCGTCTCGTCTCGATAGGGTTGGACCGTATCGTAGCTTCCCCGGCTAGAATAAGTACTCAATGGGTAGCTTTTCGCCTGTGGATCCTTGACGTCTTTGTAATCCGTTGGGTCGATGAGAAGGGAATTGCGAGCGTCAAGGGGAGTCAGATCGTCGAGATCGCGGTTGATCCGCTCTGAATAATGGTCAGTGACATAACATAAAGAATTTTGAGGTCTAGCAAACTTACCAGCCTGTTTCCTCTGCTTTCGGTGAGGATTCTCCCTAATGCACACAATTATCGCGTTCACCGCAATCAAAATAGCCAGGACCGCAGTCAGGACGGACTGTACAGCGATCAAAACCACGCCGGTGATTGTCTTGGTGGATTGCGCGATTCCAAGCTGTTCCACGAATACCATAATGCAAACGACGGAGAGCATTCGTACAACCTGGATTACAACGTTGATCCAATTTCCAGCGGTAGTCGCGAAAGGTCTAGTGAATAGTACCAGAGCGAGCATGACAGACTCGATGATCAACTGCCCAGCTGTTTGCACCAATCCGTGGCCATTGCCGGCGGCAATAACGCATCCTTTAGCGAACATGTACAAGATTGCAGGCATGAAGAGCCACCAATAGCCTCGCTTGTAGTTGTCGTAGAACAAGCTGTACTTCCGCCACGTTTCCTTGTCTTCGAAAAGGATCGCAGTGTCGCCCTCCATTTTCTTAAATTTTTGAGCGATCTGCCAGATTCGAATGGTGAAGAAAGCGAGGACCGCAGTGAACAATGCGAGTGTGACACCCGCAAGAACTTTGGCAGCCCAGGAGTCACCGTTAGTGAACTGATAGATGCAATAAAGGGTCCAGACACCGTAAAGAAGGAGGATCAAGTTGGTGATCGTCCTAGCCAATAGGCCCCAATACCGCTTGCGGAAGTTGGTGAGTTTTTTAGGAAATGAGCCAAATAAGGCCCATGTCTCAAGAATGACCTTCAGGAGAAGAATACCGACGGCGATAGCGGCGATGACAATGGCAAATATCAGAAGGACAGTCATGAACGTATTGGCCTGAGGGATGGTGAGCTGCTCAACATAGCCCTGGATACCATGCACGATGTGAGTGACCTTCGAATTGCCAGAGCTTGTGCCATTACCAGCAGCAGCGGCAGCAGTGCCTGACTGAGTGCCATTGATGGTGGTCGATGTATCTCTTGAAAATAGTTGAGGTTCAAAGAGAAAATCGTTTGCGCGTCTCGACACGATTCCTGAGTCTGACGTCGGTCCAGTAGTGTAAACCAAACTGGCATTTTTTAAGTACTGGACATTGTCATCTGTTAGGTTGCCGCCGGTCGCCCGCCTGAAATTGTCAATTGATGTCTGCATCGAGTTCCATGGGATAAGACCCCCAGAAAAGGCAAAGTTTTTGGAGAAGCTTCGATAGATTGGTGGATATTGGGCGCTCAACATTCCGTTCATGGCTATTGATTGAAACCAGCCAACGACGTCTCCAAAATTAGGGCTTGGGGCGTGGCCACCGGCTGTACCTGCACTGCCGATGGCTGAGATGCCGGTGAGTACAAGTGCGGCCCCCGCAACCCCTACCGCGATATAAGAGACTGCAGGAGATTCCACGGTCTTGCCATTGGTCACGTCTGACTCTATGCATGCTAGATCTTGTCCGCCATCAAGCGCCGTCAATTCCAATTTGGCTCCTCCTTCGAGATCAGGGACATTGAAGGCTATCGAGGGTATCTCACTCGCGTAAGACGGAGGAACGTCTTGCACACCCTGAGCTGCGAATGATCCCGCTGGGACTAGAACAGGATATCAGCACCGGAGAAGTCATGATATGCCTGTCTCAGAAGCTCACCAGGACACAGTTGATCAACTTTGTTGCCTTCGTCACATGGATTGAAGGTTTTTTGGTACACCTGCTTGCCATAGGCAGTGACGTACAAGGCAGCAGTGACATTCTCGACTTTTGAACTGGTACCTGCTACGTCGAAAGTTATCTGCTGAGTGGTGCGGTCATATTGGATATTGAGGACTGTGACTGTAATGTCGGAACCGGCCATGCACGTCGTGAAGCCTGTCGTTGTTAGGACATCGTTGGCTGATACAATCATTGTCAGAGCCGCAAGAAGTGCTATTGCAACCAGCCATTGCGAGGAAAGTTGGGGCGACTTCATCCTCAAAAGGAATTGCGAGAAATATGGCCCAAAAAATTTGTTATATGCAGCGCGAGATGCTCAATAGGAGGCCGTAAGGTTATATATGCGGGAGGATATTAAAGGGTGTTGTATATGGCGAGGGTGACCGGGGAAGTTTGGAGGCGAACTGTTGCTATCACCACTGCAGGGTATGGACTCGCTCGATCCAGATGAGAGTACACACAAAGCACGAAATAACACGGAGGCTTTGGATCAACCAGAGCGTCCCGTTAAATGCAGTTACCAGCAGAAGAAAGGGCGTCGGCGTAGATATTCAGGGGCGAACAAAGAACGAAGTATAGGCTGAAAGAACAATGATAGACAAGACCGAGGACATTCAGAAAGAGTGTGAGGAAAGAGTGTGGAATACGGAAGGACAAGCGCAATCTAGAGTAATGAGTGATGGATGGGAAGAGGAGAATGGAGGAGTCGTAAGCAGAAGACTCGAAACTTCAGCCTGTCTCCTGTCCAACTACTCATGGGCACTGACGGGTCGGCAAATGCTGACTGGCAGCCAATCAACTTGTACCACCGGCGGGACCTCGGGGAGATGCGACTTTTGTAGTGGATGAAAAAAAAGGCATCCCGGAAGTTACTCACATGTAAGGGTGAATATTAAATATACGATCATCAACCTAGATTCTATCAGGCTGTGTGTCTACGAGTAGCATATTTAGCAAGTGGTGCCTTGGTCATATCTAACCTATGGCACTCAACAGCTTCCACCGTCTGTAGGACCACCTTTAGCCAATGAGCTTCTTATCGGCTGGCGCATGCAGTCGAAAGATTAGGAGATTCCAGTGTGCAGAGAGGTACAAGTCCTTGGCTTGATGACTGCCTTTTTGCACTGACATGGGTCCTTTTCCCGGGGTTTGGCATGGCCATGGCCTTCGAGTCCTTCAGACTTTGGTACTCATTTATGAACCCAAAAGGCGACTGCGGCGAATGTACCGAGCAGCAATCGTTTTTGGAATTAGGCATCGCTCGCCTTAACGCAGGGAGTCATTTATCGTATTATTCCCATCTCAAAATCTCATCTCTCTCGTCCTGCCTCTTCTCGTTCTCGCATCATATTCCATCCACTGAGCGACTCCCTTTCTGCCATTGAGGGTAAGTGGACCAGGGTTCATGACATGGCAGCCTTCGTATGTGACTGCGAATGGCGGCGCTTCTGGGTCCATTAGCACCAAAGCCGTAGGTAATGGGTACAATTGTAATGCCCCTGCATAATCCCACAGCACAGGACGATCGGAGGGTGGAAATGGTGACAAGTATCCCTGGTCTAGTATGGTTTTCACAATCTTACGTGCTGTTTGTAGGTCCGATGAGACTATTGATTTTGCGGATTCTCTAGCTTTAGAGATCGGGATGTGAGATTCTGCTGTCTCAACCGCAATGTCGACTTCTGTACCCTCGCTCGACTCCTGCCCTTCCTCCATTGTTGTTGCGTCTCCATTCCCCATTTGATCTGGCACAATGTTCGACTCAGGTTGTGTCTTCGCCTGAAGGGGCCGAAATCTCACTGCATTGCGACGAAGTCTGCCAGACATGTCATCACGGAAAAAGACGATCTCTTGCGCGGGTCCAAACAAAGTCAAACGTGTTGGATTTGTAGACCAAACGGCCTCTCCATCCGTCTTCTTGCCTGTCGCTTTTTCTGCCTCACTCCGTGCTGTGGCAAATGCGCGTTTGATCCTGGTAGTGAAAATATCCGGCACACTGTTCCTAGGGAGTGCTGTGGCAGCCCCAGCGGAGAAAGCAGAAGCCCAGGGGTCGTTGTCTCCAGGCACGAATACAAAGGTGGTGTTTTGAAGCATGGTCGGATAGTCTGAAACGGCCGCGGCGAGGGAATCGAAATACTCCTTATATTCGATACTCCCACCACTAGTACCTCCTGTCATAACCGCATTTTGAACGAAGTTGCCCATGAGCACCACGACCATCGGAGTCTGATCGGCTTGCTCCGCGGCGTATGAACCGAGAACTCGTTTCAGCGCCTGCAGTGTTTTTGCACTGTCGAGCACAACCTCGCCGCAGATCACCATTCTTGCCCTGCCCTCCGCTAGATCTTCTGATGAAGCTCTTTTCAGTACGTTTGTTTCCAATCTTCGCATCGCTGAGCCAGCAGCTCTCTCGCTTCCAACACCGAGGAAGTCAACCCAGCCGAAGCCTCCTCCTGCATTCGTATGGCCGTCTTTACCGGCACCGCTGACGCCAACTGTGACCTCACGGCGTTCGCAGGGTGGCCCCCCAACAGAGAAGGCAATGAACTTTCCACCAACAGTACCACCCACTCCACGATTGCCGTCTAACCCAGGTCCAGTGCTTGAACCTTCTTCCTCATACACTCCGTCCACCAACACTATCATTCCGGGAGTAAACCAAGCGCCATCCTCTGGGACTGGCCTGGCATGTTGGATGTCAACGGCGATACTCCCTGTAAGGTCATTTATAGTCAACACGCCGGTAGGAGATATCGTTAACAGTCCGAGCAGGAGGTGACTGCTACCGCTGCGGCCCAGAAGATTGGCAATGGGTGTAATTTTATACGCTTGCTGGGTCGTCGCTATGGTTGACGAAAACCGTTGCAGGGAGCTTGTGCGCGCAGACGCCACTGACGACGATTGAAAAGACTCATTGCGCAGCAACCGCTGATAAATGAGATTGTAACGATGGCGGAAAAGATGGGTCTTGTGTGAGGGATCTGGCAATAACGAAGGCGCAGTCGAGGCTGCTTCGAAGTGCTTTTGGTTGACATTATATGTCAGTCTTGGCTGTTCGAATGCTCCAACGATCTTCAGCCACCGTCTAGGATCTTCGGAGCTGGTGGTACCTCCATCGTCGTCAACGCCCAGAGCAGACATCCCAAGGCGTGCTCCGCTGTCCTCCCTACTCCATGCCCAAGGCCTTGAATTTGAGTCTGTAGTATCTCCGTCAGTTTTTTCGAACGCAAAGCTTCCTTGACGGCTGGGTCCCCCCTGTTGGGAAGGCTCTCCCCCGCTCATAGAGCGCTCCATGTTTCGCAGGATGCTCTTCAACTCGTCTCCCTCGCCTGGTACAATTACACCACCACCATTCTTTTTCCAGCTTTTGGCAGCCTCGTCCAAGACTTTTTCTGCCAGACCCTCCTCCCGCCATCCTGAACCGCAATGCTTGCCTATGAAGGTGGCAAACGCTTGTAGCGCTGACGATGTGAGTGTGAGACTGTGCTTCTTTGTGAATGTGCGGAAAGCCAAAGGTCTTAGAGTAGCTGGTGGTAAAAGTATGGACAATATTGATGGCTTCGAGGGCTCCGGAGGTTTGGAGCTTCGGATAGGATGAACGGGCGTGCTGAAGGCTGGCGATGATGAGGGAATGAGACTTGGGTATGCAGCTTTTTGAGTGGCGCGGAATAGAGATGCTGTGCGAGTCCTTGAAGCATGGGTTCCTCTATCCATAGCTTCTGTATTCATCGTTTGTGTGCTGCCCTCTCATGAAAGAAATCGCTGCAATGCGGGGGGCAATGGAGCCCGACGCGTCTCACACCGGACGCGCCCCCCAAAGTGATCGCGGAACGATCCCGCGAGCGAACCTCTCATTCAGTTCACTTTCGGGCCTGATTGACAACAAGATCAAGCAACTAACGCGCCTTGAAGTTAACACTACATTTTAATTCTTCACTCTTTTCCACAATCATAAGTACTTTTAGGCCTCTACCTCTACGTCAGCTCCAGCCAAGCCCGACTTTCACTGTAACTACGTTTTCCACATCTTATCCGGCTTCAGATCGTGCAACTCTTCACCACGGCACCATGGCAGAAAACTCAGAAGTCCACTCAGATCTTGCAATTGTCGACACTGGTGTCGATATGAATGGCGACGGCAAAAGTCAGCTCCGAAATATCACAGCGCAGGCGACCCTTAAGTATTCAGTCAAAGATTACAATGCTGCTGCAGAGCTCTATTCCCAAGCAACCGAGCTACAAGCTGAGATCAACAGCGAACTATCGTCAGAAAACGCCGACCTACTTTATGCGTACGGGCGATGCCTCTATCATGTCGCGGTAAAAAACAGCGACGTGTTGGGCTCCAAGGTTGGCGGTGAGAGACGCGAAGAGGGCCACAAGACGCCGGGCAGCAAGAAGCAGAAAAGGCAAGAAGCGATCGACGAAGCCGATGGGCAGCAAAAGAGGATCGCCGAAGAGGTCGTGACAAAGGTTGTTGGAAAAAAAGATGCCTCGATTCAGCCAGGCGAAGAAGCAGAGAGAAGCAAACCATACTTCCAGTTCACAGGCGACGAAAACTTTGATATAGCGGATGAGGAGGAGGAAGAAGTTGCAGAAGCAGACGCAGATGACGCCGAAGACGCTGACGAGGAAGATGACTTCGTCAATGCCTATGAGGTACTCGATCTAGCGCGCGTGCTGTTGTTAAAAAAGCTCGAGGAAATTGAGAACAGCAGTGGCAAGGGAAATGAGAAAGGCGAGTTGCAACGAGTCCAGCAGCTCAAGGAACGTCTCGCAGATACCTACGACCTCCAAGCTGAGATATCACTTGAAGGAGAAAGATTCCCCAATGCGGTCGTGGACCTCAAATCTGCGCTGGAACTGAAAAAGGGACTCTTCCCACAAGAATCAAGCCTTGTAGCAGAGGCCCATTTCAAGCTATCTTTGGCTCTAGAATTTTCGTCTGTAACGCAGCAGAAAAACGAAAACGGAGAAGTGGAATCAAACATTGACGCACATGTTGATGAATCAATGAGAGAGGAAGCAGCTCAAGAGATGGAGGAAGCCATTGCCAGTTGTCGGCTGAGGATCGAGAAAGAGGAAGCGATGCTTTTTGATCCACCCGAAGCTGGTGAAGATTTTGGAAATCCTAAAGTCACGAAGGGAGACATCTCTGACGTGAAAGAAATGATCGAGGAGATGGAACAGCGG